CGGATATTCTCTTATAATATTTGTCCTGCGTATCGTGGAGGAGAGATAATACTCACCAGCGGCAGCGGGCTCAATCTCGCATCCTCCCGACGGCCGAAATGTTCCTCTTTTTCTTCTTCTTCTTCCTCGCCTCCTCCTCCTCCACCCTCCGCGTCCTCGTCCTCCTCCAGGGCCGCCCGTACTTCGTCGAGACGTCGAGCGGCGGCCGGCGATGGTCGTGGCGGACTGCGGTTGTGCCGGGGCTCGCGGCGCACTCGCCGAAATCCACCCGCGATGATCCCGTCGTCCGCGTCGTCGTCGCCGCGCGGAACTCCGCTCCGGCTCGCGGATCACGCGAAGGAGTCAACGCGCGGAACGAGACGGCGGCGAGTCGCGGCGCGACGCATCTCGCCGGGATGCAGTTTTTTCGTTTCTCCCGTGTTTTACTTCTCTGAGATCTATCTCTCTCTCTCTCTGTCTGCACCTTCCCCGTCGGAGTTCGGACCACGACGACGAGGAGATCGCGCACTCCTCTGTCTCTCTTTCTCCCTCTCGCTAATCACACACGAGGTGTTACCGGTTCGAGACGGGATATTCGCGGAGCGCGCAACGAGTTTTCGGCTCGTCTCGGCGGGTGAAAAAGGGACGAGGGGAGACAGGCGGGAGAGAGGGAGGGCGGGAGAGGCGCGCGAGAGTACGTATGCGTTGCGTATGTGTGATGTGTGTGTGTATGTATGGGACGGCGTCGAGATTGTCGAGAAAGCGGTCGACGAACGAGGGAGAGGAGGCTGATAATTCGACGCCCTAGCTTCGGCTGGACGAGAGCTGGGCTACGCTACGCGCGTCATGCTCGTCGTCAAGGGAGAGAAAAAGAGAGAGACAGAGCGTTGAGGGGATAGGGTTTACACGCGCGCGCGCGCGCCTACGAGAGCAACTTCTCCGCGATTAACCGAATGCGCCGCTCGAGTGTCAGCATCCGACTGAACTGACTGAGGTAGTGAAGTGCGGCGCGGACGGCGCGAAGCGGCCGTAGCGCGCGGATGGACGGGGCCGCGCGACGCCGCCGGTGGCTCCGCGCGACGGCGCCCGAGCGTACTTCGTAAAGCCGGCGCCGCCTCGTTACGCGTCGGTAAGATTCTGCGAAAGCACGCGCGTTACAAGCGATCGGAATTATCAATTAGCAGAATTAGCTAATTAACCTGACATATGCGAGATATGTGAAAAAATATATGGAAAAATGACTTGTATATCGAGTTATGACGGTGTCAATGCTAGTAAGATAGATCACTCGATTGTCATCTATGTATACATGGAATTGAAATTGAGGAAACGTTTTGAAATTTCGAATAAGTCTCTGCAGAAATTTAAGAAAGTTTACATCTCTTTCAGAATTCTTTATATATCGGAAAGAACAATTTTGCTGAATCCAGATCTGAAAGTAATTTTCGTTCAATAATCAAAATTATTTTGTGCGAAAGTCAAAATGATTGCTAGAATATCAAAACGTTTTATAGCAATACTTATCAGTTTTAACGTTCCAACAAATTATTTTGATGATTCAATAAAAAATGATTTTCAGATCTGTTTTTAGAAAAATTTTTAGACCTTTCAACGAAATCGTTCTTTCCCTGATATACAGATATTATAAATTCTAAAATATTCTATGATTTTTCATTTTATAATTTCCGCGGAAAACTTATAAATCTGAAGAAGTTTAAGATATAAAGAAGTTTAATATATAATATATTATGTATTAAACTTACTCATATATATGTATATGTATACGTTAAACTTTCAAAAATTTTAAATATGAAAAATTCTTAAAAAGCACTGTGAAATATCGGCTGCATTCGGGAAGAGTGTTATCAACGTTATTATATTTAATTTGTCCTTGTTTTAAGTCTAATTAACGAGAAAGATAAAACGACATAATATATAGCGCTGATAACGCACTCCACGAACGCATGTAGCTATGAAATTATTTTCAATGTAAAAACGACAATAGCAATAGTGTAATATACATCAGGAGACACGCTAAAGAGGTAAAAAATATTAACGTATGTATGTACATACGTGTTTATACTCAAGTAACACACCATTGTCACGAGAAAATCAAGATGATGTCATCTTGACTAAGATTTGACGAAATTTTTCGTCAAAATTCAGCCAAGATCACATCATCTTGATCTTCTTGTGACAATCGTGTGTTACTTGGGTAGGGCACAGACACAATGAAAAAAAAAAAAAAAGAAACAGAGTGAATTGAACATAATTAATTAAAAAAAAGTCAGAGTGGGACAAAAATAGCATTATCTGTTTGTATTTTTTTCCTAACGCCTTATGTTCAATTATCTGTTCCTTTATTTTCTTTCATTCATATTCATTATACACTGCCGTCGAAAAGTTTTTCAATATCTATCACCTAAATCCTTGTCTTCTCGCGTGTGCATTTTTCTTCAGCAATATATTTGACGTCTCATATAGTGTATATCAATAAAACACGCAGCCTTTATCCCCACGACGCCGTTATCAACGCACGGAAAGGAGATATATTGATCGTATTATATTTCTATACAAATATTCCGCAAATTTTCAAAAATACCTAATCGGGATCAAAACCATCTAATCTCGAAACATCGGCTAGACCATTATAGCATTTCCGCATTAAAAATTTCTATCGAATCCAATCGATCAGCTGTTTGCCTCGCACGCAAAATCAGTCGTACTCGCAGGTGTACTTTCTGCACCTCGAACGTGTGCCGTAGCCGTCGTATGCATGCATACACATCATGCATATGTACATACATATATGCATATCACGCCTACATAAAGCCTTTCGAGAAAAGGAGGGAAAAGCGTAAATAAAAAATACGACGGAAATCGGGCCGAGTCGGGCGGAAAAATCTGCGAGATACTTATATCCCTGTCGTCGCGCGCCTCGTCGCTGCGGTCCTTCGGGTGTTTCGGCCGCGCCTTTGCGGCCTTTGCGCCGTGAAACACGGACGCGGGAGCATATCGCACCGCGCTCGGGTCCAGGGAAGACGGCCGGGGGGTAGGAGCGAGGGAGGGAGGGGCGCGGGGAGGGAGGGAGGAAGTGCAACCGAACCCTCGTGACACACACAGCTGACAGGCACAGTGTGTGCGGAGTGTGCCGCGTACTGCGCCTACACGGCGCGCCTGGCACGAGCCGCAATACGACGGCTCCGCTCCGCGCGCGCCGTTTCGCCAAAGCGCGGCGGCCACGTTTCGCTCTCTCGCGCCGCCTTCGAGACCTGCGGGTACGCGTTCGTCCGGCCGAACGATCCCCGCGTTACGTTAGTAGGCCACGAGCGTCGTTGGCCGACGCGATGAACGCCGTCGCCGTCGTTCTCAGCGCCGCGCAATCCGCCGCGTCCTCGTCGATCAGGCGGCCCCCGCGGCACGTCGTCCGCCGTCGCCGCGACTGATCCCGTTGTTGCCGCCGTTTCAGCGCCGTCGTGATTCAGAGCTGGCCGAATGTGCGGCAGCGAGTGCACGAGCACGATTCCGAGGTGAGAGAAAGAGAGAGAGAGAGAGAGAGAGGAAAACACAGAGCAGAGAATTATTGTGCATTTGGCGGACGCGATAAATCGAGCGTGGCCGCCACCTCCTTTTCCTCCTCCTCCTCCGCCGCCGCCGCCACTACCGATCCGTCGACGCTCACGAATTTCGCGGCCGATGCTTATCGCCACGCGTCCGTAATAATCACCGTCGGAACGGAATGAAGAAGCGGAATTCACGCGTCCGCCGTCGCGCTCGGTGGCCGCGAGGCGGTGCAGCTGCCGACGGAGACGAATGCGTGGTCGCGGCTCACGCGCTCTGTCCACCATCGTCGTCGTCGTCGTCGTCGTTTTTCCTACCGTTTTTCCCGGAGCGAGCGACCGTACGCGTTGCTCGTGCAACACGTGCGATCCCGCCGCAAACGGGGAGCAGCCGGTCCCGCTCCTGTACCTTCGCTACTCGCGTGGATCACGTACGGCCGATCGGACCCCCCGAGGACGGGAAGAAAGTGAACCGCGCGGTGACACGCGGAGAGAGATCTCTCCTCCTCTACGTTCGCGAACGCGCGCGAAACGTGTAAAAATAGCCGGGGAACGCGGAGGCTGTGGTGCGTGTGTGTCCGCGCGTATTTAAAAATTCGACGGTTCAAAGTGCGCCGAACTCTCTCCGATCTCGCGTACCTCCGTCGAGTTGTCGCGAGTTCACGGTCCTTTTATTTTTCTTTCTTTCGAGGGATCGCTCGCGGCGATTTTCGTCAGACTTTTTTTTTCTTTCCCCTCTCGACGCTGTATTATTATTATGCCGCGTCGCGGCGACGCGCGACGATCGCCGGCGTACGGTCGCGGTGAGGGAATAACGCCGTTTTTCCGTCAGCACGAGCGACGGCAATGAGCGACGGCGAGGCCCCTGCATCTAGCGGCGGATCTCATTTCGCGGAAGGTGAGACGAATCGGCGGGGACCCGCTCCCGGTGGCCGTCCGCGATTATTAATTGCGATCGATCGTTTCGTCACGCTCGTGTCGCTTATCGCGGCCCCCGTTTATCGTCGCGAGTCGCGCGAGGAAAGAAAAAGGAAAAGAAAAAAAAAATGGAGATTTCTCCAGGGACCGAGTCTCCTTCGCGCCGATCCGCGCCGTCGCGATTTTATTTAAATTCGCCTCACCGCGCCAATCCTGATATCGCGATGTACTTACGCGGAGGAATTTTAATAAGCGCGCGGGGAGATTCAGACTCGATCGCGAGACTCGCACGGCCGAGTTTTTCCTTCGATCGTGATTGACGTACTTACTCGCGTATAAACGTTCAATTGATCGCGCGCGTAGTTTCGTGCTTCGGACCGCCGGTGTAAAAAAAAAAAAAAAACGTTGAATATTCACTCTTCCGCCGCTTCTCACGTCGCCCTTTCGACTCTCGTTATCATTGAAATGTATTCGCCCGCGAAATATCGTTTGTCGCGCGTGAAATATCGAGCGGTTTCACGAAATTCCATCGCGCGTTGTATATTCTTGCAATAATGCCATAAATAATGATTACTATAAAAATAAAAAGTAGTAATAAATGACAATTGTAAATAGTTTGTCCGACAGAAATGTTTCGCCGACGCTCTTCGCAGTCGCGACCGCGCTTCCCGCCCCCCCGCCGTCGATTGCAATCCGCGCCAATCTGCATAAGTTGATCTTTTGTCTTTTCAAGCTCCTGCGCTTTCTAGGATCAAGGATGTCGAAGCGGCTGAGCTTCTACGGTCTGGTAGCCCTGGCGTCCGTCTGCATCTTCTTCCTGGCGTTTAACCAGCGCTACAGCAGCTACCTCGAGCACCGACTGCAGCCGATGATATCGGTCAGTAAAAATTCGGAGGTGGGGATTGCTCTAAATTGAGTCACGCCAAAACACACGCTCTTTCTGATACGGTAAAAGTCTAGACTTTTGCACCTAACTCTCTTTCTCTTTTTTTTTTATCCCGTCCCTTCTCTGAACATTAATTAACTCCGCGAAGCGACCGCGCGCACGAGGGAATCGACACGCGACTTCTCTCTTTCTCCCTGTTTCTCCTCTCTCTCTCTCTCTCTCTTCGACCCCCTTTCCCCGTTTTCTCACACAGTTTTGCTAGTATAGTTTAACGAAATATCAGACTGCGATCACACCTCTCTTGAACAATGATGAAACAAATTTCGTAAACTTTCGAGATACTTTCTGTCGGAGAGCGTGTCAACTTGTTGTCGAAAATCAGATAAGTAAGTTCACGGCTTGTCGCAATTCACCTCCCTTTATAATTGTCGACGACGGTTGACGCGATTCGTGGCGAAATTCGATCGAAAGAGGAGACACCTGTAATATGATTATCAGCATGTCCGCGCGTAGACTGGCACATTTTTTTTATCGTATATATATACGCACACTCTCACTCTCAACGATACCGATTTATAGTCTCACGGTGTAATATCAATGGGGCTGTATCAATCTCGCTGCTCGCTCTTGCACTTGCGTCCTTCGGAAAACGTTAAATCACGCTAGCTATATAAGAAAGAGGGAGAAAGATCATTGTTTCCACGAGTCACGATTTGTATATGTATATATATATACCATCGGCGATTAATATATTCGCGATTCGCACGACGCGCGAGACGCACAATCGAAACGCTAAAACGTCGATGCTTTTTTTTCTCTTCCTCGATATAGGATGTTGAGATAAGGCCGCGGACCACCAAAATCCAAGAGCCGGTAACGGTAAGCCAGGTATGCACTTATCGATCTGAATGCGCAAATGCTACCCACTTGTTATTAATGATTGTTTACTGATAGAGTGCCATTTACTGTTAGAGTGGCTTATCTTATCGTAATGTTGTCACAGCAAGCATAGCGAAAGGCGTAAGCGCTGGGCCATATACATAGCTCCCGTGCTTAAAGATAACTTCTATTTTTTTTTTCTCTATTTCAATTCATTTTCTATGCCGTAAATTCTATGTGTAGTAAAACATTTTTAAAACTTTTTATAAAAACACAAATGTTTATTATTTACAACATTATTGATCACGTTCTTATTTGGCAGAAACAAATAAATGGGGATAAAAAAAAATTTATATTTGAAATAATAGTGATTTAAAAACGGAGGTTAATTTTTATTTGAGAGTTTATCTTTGTTGCATGATTGCTTCCTTTGTTGCGTGAGGAAAGTTGAATAGGGATAAAAAAAATAAAATAATTTCTATTTGAAATAATAGCGATTTAAAAACGGAAGTTAATTTTTATTTGAGATTTTATCTCTTCCTCTGTTGCATGATGCCGCATACCGAGATTTACTTGTTAAATTATATTATTACTCGCGTGAAGCATCTGCTCGTTGTATACATATACGTTCTTACTTGTGTTACTTAGCTTTACTAACGCATCTCCTCTGCTTTTGGATTATGAGTTTAAATGTTCCCTCTGCTTGTTTATGAAATATGAACGATACCTATCGTCTTTATTACGTGTACCTCATTTCTTTATTATCTATTGTATGGAAATATAAAGATATAAATTATAGGTGTACTGTTTTTAAAATAACTATAACACTCATACATAGTTCATGTAACTTTCAAATTTGTCTTCGTAAAACTAACGAAATGATTAAATTGCCTGCTGTAGAAAGCTGCCTTTATGCGCGATTGAATTTCAAGATGTGAACTCATTTTTCTCTTTGCATTTCTTTAGGATATGTATGTCGCATACCTGTGTTACAATGAGACCGTCATCTTTTAACGCTGCATTTATGTAATGCTGCTAACAAATAGCGAGTAACAATAATTCCCTATTTAATAATTGGCTTTAATCTTTTTTTAGACGTACATTACGGGATCCGCGGAAAATGCCACGATCACCGAAATTCAGGAGGTGGTTGACCAACAAAGGAAGGCGATTAAGAAAGAGATGGAAGATTATGAGTATTCAAACGGAAAATATGGGATAAATGTGAGGTAATCTTCATCTTTATCTTTACGTCGCCAGAGTGTAATAACTTTCGTACCGTTGAAAAAATCAATGAGCGTTTAATTATTACCTGCATTATGTATTTACAGCAAACTCGAAGATTTAGTGATGGAGAAGGGCGGTAAACCCATGAGAAGCATAATTCTGACGAGCTGGAGAAGCGGCAGCACGTTCCTCGGCGACGTGATGAACGCGCATCCGGCCAATTTCTATCATTACGAACCGCTGCTCGACTACGGAATCGTGCAAATCCGCGGGTCGCCGCTCGCCGAAGAGTCCTTGACAAGGTTAACCTCTCTGCTGAATTGCGAATACAAGGAGCTCGGTAATTTCACACATCCTTAAACTTCTCTATTCGCCTGAGGAGGCGTATCGTTTAACGATCGCATGATCGTACGATCGATAATTATCGTGATAGATCGGTACCTGGATTACGGGAAGACGCATCCTTGGCTGTTCAATCACAACACGCACTTGTGGCGGCAATGCCTGGCGCATAAGCGCATCTGCTGGGATCCGCGTTTCGTCTCCAAGTTCTGCCGACTCTTTCCGTTCCAGTCGATGAAGCTCGTGCGGTTGAGGTTGCGTGCGGCAGAGACTCTTTTGGCCGAAGAAGAGTAAGAAATTATATATGACGGACATATATAAGATGCTTTTTTTTAGATCTTATCTAGACATTGTCTTTCTGTGACCTCAAAACATTGTTATATTATATTCATTTATATTGCAGCCTAGGTGTACGACTAGTTCTACTCGTCCGTGATCCGAGAGGCATTCTGCAATCCAGAAAACACAGGGAATGGTGTCCAGCTAAACCCGACTGCTCGGATCCGACTCTGGTCTGCGCAGACATGGTATCGGACTTCAACGCGGCGGTAGAATTGTCACAAAAATACCCACGTTCTTTCAGGTATAGCATAATCATACTAGCGCAAAAAATTTTCTATATATGTTTGGTATTCACAAAAATTTATTCCGCATGCAATTTTTAAGTGATTTATTAAAATCGATACGCGATTTATTTTATAATTGATAACTCACGGTTTCACGAGAAACTCAAATTTCTATCTTTGTATGTGATAAATAGGGTGGTGCGCTACGAGGATCTGTCCGTGGATCCCTACAAGCACGTGAGGGAGCTCTACAATTTTTACGGTTTGGACTTTCACGTGAACGTGAAGAGGTTCCTGGACACGCACACGAAGAACGACGTGGGCGGCGTGTCGAGCACCTTCCGCAACTCCAAGGTCGCGCCGTTTCACTGGCGGGCCGATCTGGACTTCGAGGAGGTGCGCGAGATACAGAGGGCTTGCGCGACCGCCATGCGACTGTGGGGATACGTGATGGCCTTAAATTCCACCCACCAAAAGGACTTCGATCCTATCACAGATTACCGGCTGCAGTTGTGACGGCTGGCAGACGACATGCTCAATGTAGATATGATGTATAGTTTATCGGTATAGCGAACGGCGGCGGTCGGGAGTGCCGTAGTTCATATTTAATATATTCAGCGAAAGGTGCTAGGTGGTCACTCAGGACGATAGCCACGTAAACGGGGTATATGAACGTCGATTTTCCTTCGAAGGGGGGGAAAAAAAACTTACGGAATTGCCGAATTTCTAGCTTTGTCGACAAAAAGGCTACTTCTTGAAAAGGAAACGATAAACGGGGGAAATGCATTCGTAATTTTTGTATCGTATGACTGACACGATCTGAATCACAGGGTGTAGGATAAAATTCCCAAGAGCTTTGACGCGCGACACAAATTACGTCTAACCATATCGACGCAAACAAACGTTGCAGGTGCACTCGAAACGTTTCTAAATATTTGTGAATCTTTCAAGAGAGAGGAAGGGTATTTTGTGTCTAATGTATAAATCTATATTCATTGATATTGATTGTAATTGTAGATAGTTTGTAAAAAGGGAGCTTTGTAATGATCATTGAGTTATCAGTAGTGTATATATATATATATATATATATATATATCTATGATCATTACATTGTCTTTTTACATATTTACGAGGTAACTCCACGTATATGTAAGAAAATGAAATTTTTATATTGATTATAGAACACAAAGTGCACCCACCCCTTGTTGGATTCATAACGAATTCTACGCTAAAAGCAAGAGACGACCAAATTTAATTTCTTACTGATCTGACACATGATATTACTATATTACGAATGTGAAGATATATTCACATGCGAAATGACGAATATTTATATTTAATAAGGAATGTATCGTGTCCGATGACGAAAGGTTTTTAGCTATCATTGAACGAAAACTCTGAATCTCGTGACGAATCTCATCAAGATCGTGTCTTGCCGTGTATCAGCAATCGACGAGCATTGAGAATTTATTGAAATAACCGTCACACAACTGACGGAAAATTTCCACCGATATCCAATGTGATTCATGTGAAAGGCAGAAGCACGGTCGCAATATCAATTAGCTCGTTCATGCCACGGAACACTCGATCTTATCTATACTTGCTCATGTGGCGAAAACGTTCGTTCGAGGAAACGGCCGGTGTATGTCAAGGACGAGAATATGAAGTTTCCATTTCACCGGCCTCCGATGACTTTTGGGCCGGCGGCGTATTATTACCGGGAGTATATAGAGACGCGAGACCAACTTGCCCGCGAGCGAGCGCGCGCATGTGATTTTTATAATGTACGACATGATCGTATAATGGCACTGCACACCACTTTAGATAAAGAGGATAGGAAAAAAATATTACCGTGAGCTGGCGTAATTTAGAGTAAGGAATACTTTTTTGAATCTTTACACGCTACATATTGATTATCCCGGGACAGCCTGAGCCAACTGGCCAAGGCACATACACACACACTCTCCGTTATGTATTATAGTGCAATTACGTTATATATTATGTACTCGGGATTGTATTCATCGCGTCCTTGTGTTGTGCACCGAGAGCGCTAGATTATCATCAGCTCTCTGTGCGATCGATCGGACCTTATACCATTCGCGTTCACTTAAAATAGGATCGGCTTCAATGAGCGTATATTATGTTACTGATATTACATTACCACAAGAGTTTGGATATTGGGAAACGAGATATTACGACCCCGCGCCTTCCCGTTATTTTATTGGAGGACAGTCTGAACTCTTAAAGATCTGGACCCTTTAATTATTATTTACGTTGTTCCACTTGTCAGCCCGCATGAAACGAAGATTTAACGAAATGAATGTGATGTCTCTCGTACGTACGGATGAGATCTGACGAGTAGCGTCGCGTGCAACATTGACGAGTCACCGACGCGACCGCTAGAAAGATACGCAACAGCTTCGTGCGATCTCACGCCGTTGTTACTTCTCGCGGAATGAGTATCTAGTCCAAAAGGAACGCGTATTCGCATTTTGTACCTTAGATGTAAAGGTTCTCCAATAAAAGGAATCATATTTCTATGGAATATATTCGCCATTTATTTCATCATGTTTCTTATCCATCCGCAATATCCATATACATGTCCTTTCACATTCCATTCGCCTCTCCCTAAAAAGTAGAACAAAAACTTTCGAGCAACAAAACGCACTAATTACAATTTACTTATGCAGCTTATCAGTTGCTTCAGTAAGTTTCTAATCACTACACATCATAGCGTATATTTATAAAAAACATCATTAAAAAAAATTAACAGAAATATCAAGAATATTTCCTGACAAGGTTCGACTGTTTCATGTAGCAATGCTTTAAATTTCTCTTGATTTCATATTGTAAATATTAATAAAAAAAATGTAGACACATAAAATATATCAATGCTAAAATCTTATTACCTTTACGTCAGATATTCTCTTGAGGCCACATCTGGTAACGCAACTGTAACAAAAAAAAAAAAAATGATTCTGTTATAAGATCAAATATAAACAAAGAAAATTCTTTTTTGTTAACAACGAAATCAGTGAGGGCAAGTATTAATCTTTTTACCATTTACTCGGTAAGAGTTAACGGTATCAGAATAGCGTAAAGTAACATCATATTCAGTATTTTATATAATTATATCCCAAATATTATTCGTGTAATTTAATTATTTGATTAATTAATATTTAATATTTTCTTTAATATTTACCAAGTAGTATTCAAACGAATCACGTACGCGATCGCATTGTCACCGCATTTTAAATTGATATCAGTCATCTGAAATTAAACATAGAACATCCTTTTTTATATAATTAATACTTGTGCAGAAAAATCAAAATAATTACGCTTTGTTATCAGAGTAAAGATATAACAGCAAGGTGATCTCAGACATATGCTTGTCAAACTTTATAATCATCATACAATAAGAAAAATATTTTGTCTTTAAAAAACAAGAAACAATTCTTACTTTGTGAGACGCCATTTTGATGTACAGCTCATTATCGCAATTATTAACAGCGCAACGAATATTTTCAATTATTTCTTGCGCATTGCGCTATCCGTGCATATTTTCATCATTTCTGTGAAGTCAATCCTTCACGACTGAAGATCTCAATTTGATGCATGCTTATGAATGTTAAATAATGATTGGCTTGATAAAGATGATTTGCCATTCCTTTCCAAGAGATGATGATCGATTAAAAATCCGATATTGTTCTAGGATTTCAACCCGGCACAGAAAGCAGACACGCAACTCTCATACCATGACCACCATAATATTTGCTATATTCTGAAAAAAAAAAAAAAAATTTCCGTTAGTTTAAAAATTATTCACTTTAATTATAAATTAAAGATTTATATTGACACGTCAGAAAATCATTTTCCCCATGTTTTTACGTAGGACAGGGATAACTATTAACTCATCATGTATTAACTATTCAGATAACAAAGCCAACTTTCACGATATGACATTATCTTTTCTACCAATAGTTTTATTAAGAAATCTTAGACTTACATTCTTATTGTGTCTCATCTCGTGGTCGATAGATTTGCCTTCATCCATTCTTCAGGCGAACATCTAATATAACATATAACATACATGTAATCAGTATGATATCTTTCCTTTCCTATTTTTTTATTGAAATTATTTGTCAGGAACAAATATTCGTCATATGCAATCAGATTGACTGAGGGCGGTTTGTTCATGTACTCATCATATGCGTACCATTATAATACTGACAAATTATACTTATAAATATTACAAAAAAGTATGTCTTTTTTTTAATTTAAAATAATAACATAGATAACTTACAAAAACGTCTGATTCAAAGAGGGTAACAGGTGGCCATCTGCTCCATCATCTTTTTCTATATAAATGAGATACATATATATTAAAATGTATTTTCTCTACAGTATATCGATGAATAAAGATAGAAACAATATTATCAGTACACTGATTCATTCATAGTTCTCAGACTGGGGCAGTATATTAATCATCATATAAATTTATTCACATAACTTATATTAATTGCAGAAATAAGTCTTTTTTTTACATTAAAGTGCATAAAATAAAATATACAAAAAATCAAATCTATTTGCAAACAGAAAAACTATGTGCTTTTAATCTGCATTGAAAATTCTTAAATAAATTTGTGAGTCTAATAATCATAGGTTTTTACGTTCTGTTTTATGAAATGATCTTCTTGTGTTTAAATTACAATTAATAAAAGAAAAACTTTACATAAGAATAATCTTGAAACGATGCTCTCAAATGCAATTCTAAATCTGTTTATAGGCAGATGATGACTCAAAAATGCAACTCAAACGGGAATGAGAGCATGTGGCGGCACAAGACGCAGCATCGAGAAATTCCTTCTCGGAAACACAGGAGAAATAAAATACTCACTATAAAAACTGATTGCGATGATAAGCGCAAGCTATTTAGCGGCTGCTCCTCCGATAGGAAAGAAAGAAGAGGAGGGGAGGCGGCTTCTACAAAACCCGGCACTAAAAGAGAAACGGGAACTAAAATCTCGATGGTGTAGAAGCATGCGGCGACGGCGCGTCGCCCGTGTAAATTGTGGCGTGATCAGAGAGCCTGTAGAGGCTTGTAATCAAGAGACGATCATACGAACGAGACAAACGCAGCTCATCATGTCGTTGGGAGAGGGGCGAACCGAAAAAAAACGTGATCAAGCTCAGGCGCCGAGATATATATATAATTGAAAAATACAATCGGGATCGTTGAATTCAAGGGGAATCGTGCGTAGGGAGCCCCGTCGCAAGATGCCTGAGCGAGGTGTGCACGCGGATGCCGATGGATTTCGAGAACGATCTTGCGCTTACCTCTCCACGCCACGCCTGACGCCACGCCGTGAAGGAACGAGACGCGTATGCATGGACGTATTGGACTCGTCCTCCGTGCTCCGAGAGATCCAGCCGCCAAATGAACGAAGCCAACGTCGCCAACGTAGGTAGTCCACGCTTCGCGACTTTTCGGAGCCTCTCGGGGGAAGGGAGGGAAGCTTCCGGCGCTGTTATGACACTTACGACGGATTTACATGTAAAAGTCGTCAAGCTGATATTTCGATCAATCGCTGAGCTCCGCGCGTAGAGATTATTATTTTTGTGGACAAATATCTACCTCTCGATATCTAATCGAGTCTCTCCGATCTTCTGCTTAGATCGTCGAAAGAAATTTAACGCGTCTTATAATTATGAAATTAATATATTAATTACATTTATTACGATTAATGTAATTAATTTCGCGAGAAATGCCTATAGCTATAAGGATTACTTGGAGCAAAAATTCTGACTAAATTTATGTCCATTACTTCATTTTAATCTCGGTTTAAAAAAAATTCTTTTCTAGTTACAGGAATTCGAAAAAAAAAAAATAAATGAAACTAAAATTAAAGAGTAATTAACTTTAATTAACTGTCAAAGTCGCAAAATTAATAATATAATAATCGCAAAATTTTTGTCCACCTAATTTAGCCTTTTCGCACATTAAATGACGGAATGAGGATTGATATTCCATCTGTCTTAATAAATTAAGCAGCATCGATTCGAGAAGTTATTAAAATTAAAAAACGTCAATGCTCCGCCGCGGTTGCGACACTCTCGCCGTCAGATGATTGGAGCGGGGAGCCCGGAGCCAGTGGAGCCTGCCTGGAGCAGTGGAGCAACCTGGACTCTGGAGCAGTGGAGCACAGTGGAGGCAGCCTGGAGCCGACCCAGTCCAATCTGACCTAACCTCACGTCAAGTGACGTCAAAATTTGTCATCCGTGCGCATCGTTTCGTCGTAGAGCGATTAAGGAGTTTCGCGGAGGGGACAACGACGGGACGCCGCCGCGCCGGGGCCGATATCTGTCGTCGGGCTTGATTCGCACGAGCGCGAGGAGAGTGACGAAGTGACGCGTGACGTGGCCCCGCGAGGGATACCGCGGTGCCATGGAAATGTCTCTGCCCACCGAGTGATGACATACCCAGACCGCCGTTTCTCACGGTGCGTATACACACTAGTTCTAATCGCGTTACTTATCGCGTTCTCGCCACCATTCATCCGCACCATAAACATAACACGGACAGACGGAGCATGTCGCGCGTGACCTGGCCGGCGTGTGCGAGAAAGAGGAAATACAATTAATCTCTCTTCTCTCTCTCTGACATTATACAGAGAGCAACCTTTCGCTAGAGAGAGAGGGAGAGAGAGAGAGAGAGAGAGAGAGAAGAGAACGATTGACCCCAAAGTGTGATATGTGACCGATATATATTTTTAGAGCGCTGTCGTGTCTTCCTCAATATTAACGTTACATTTTCCCTTTAACTTTAAATCCAAGCCCATACGCCGTCAGCTGTAAGTAATTGTAAAGTGGCAGTGAATTTAATCTAATTGCATTGTAGGAGGAGATTGAGCGTGATATTTGAGAGCGGCCTGTGCGTGACGTTTATTTAAAACAATGATGGAGTTGAGTCATAGCCTGACCCTCAACGAGGATGCTCTTAATCAAATCCCGGAGGCGAAGCGACCGGTCTTCATTTTCGAGTGGCTACGCTTCCTGGACAAAGTTTTGGTTGCCGCTCAAAAGGTTTGAAAGTTCAACATATATAGCTGTTAAGTTTGTTACTGAGAGACAATGAGAGGAGATATTGAAATTATTTGCATAATAATATCTATGTTGAATTCTTAATTGTGATAAATCTTATTTGCAGAGCGACATTAAAGAATGCCAGCAAAAGTTGGTGGAGCAGTTGACCAGGCATATGCAAGGAGCACCTGGTCCACCCACCCGGCGTCTCATCGCAAGATGCCTGGCGACTTTGTTCAGCGTAGGCGACACATTCCTGCTCTTTGATACCGTCAACAAGTGTAATGATATCTTGAGGAATAAGGACGATTCGCCGAGCTTTCTACCCACGAAATTGTAAATATTACTTAATATAATTGATATTAATTGATTGACCAATATTATTAGTATATTAATATGAATTAATATTTATTAATACTAATTAATATTTATTAACGATAATCAATCGATTATTATCTATTAATTTTGTTGATAATTTGGATTAATTCTAATACGTATACATACATGTCATTTTTCTAGAGCTGCTATTTGTTGCGTGGGATGCATGTATGAGAAATTGGGAAGAATGATGGGCAGGTCATATGAGGAAACTGTGCAGATTCTAATAAAGTCCCTACGTTCTGCGGAATCACAGACGCGGATAGAAATTATGCACACATTAGAAAAGGTGACTATCTTGTTAAAAATCGTTCAACTATTTTAATATTTTTTATGTATATTAAAATATGTTTCTAATGTAACGTGCTTATCCTAAATTTGTCCTATAATTAGGTGTGCGCTGGAATGGGATCCGCGATAACCAATGTGCATAAGGAGATATACAAAGTTTCCAGGCATTATCTGACCGACAGAGTGATGGCGGTGAGATGTGCCGCCGCCAAGGTATTTATATTACAAAAAAAAAAGATTATTGATTACGTGCGCTCCACTTTTCTGTACTTCCAATAATTTTTTTTTTTTTTTACAGTGTTTACTGGAGATGTTGAATCACGCTCCGTTTTTGTATACGACCGAAATCGAAAGCGTTGCAACGCTATGCTTCCGGGCATTCGAAGGTTCGAATTACGAGGTGAGATGCGCCGTCGCTAAATTATTGGGCACCTTAGTGGCAATGACGCAGCTTCCTTCACCCAAGATAAAAAATCCCACAGGTATGGAAGCAAAAAAAATACCTCAAACAAGATTAGAAACGTCAAATGCGGTCTAAAGCAAATCTTGGAAAAAAATATATGAAATAATTATGAAAATATACACCCAAATCTTTTGTTCCGCAGTTGCGCACAACAAAGGTGTTAAGCAAGCTTCGCTTGAAGAGGTGTTAAATATCCTGATGTCCGGATTTTTAAGGGGCAGCGTCGGCTTTCTGAAAGGGACCGGCGAGATCATAAAAGGAAGCTCCAGCATAAACAGAGAAGTGCGAGTTGGAGTGACACATGTAAGTGATTACGGATGCAATTTTAAATATACTCAAACTACGAAATTTGTATAATTATGCGAGAAATATTTATAGCGTTAGTTTTCAAGGAAGCAAAGCAGAGTTACATAATTTGCCGTTTATTCTGTCGAGTCGAAAAGCCTTTAACTTTATTGAGGAATATATTTGTCGAGTCGAAAAGCCCTTAACTTTATTGAATATATTTTTTCACGATAAAACATCTCGCTGACATTTTTGGTGATCGCTGTATTACAGGCATACGTGGTGTTCGTTCAAATGTTGGGCGGTACCTGGCTGGAACGAAATATCGGCACGTTAATCGCGCACGTTTTAGACCTGGTTACAAACCCGAAAGCCGCTAGCTCGCACGTCGAGGCGGTGTACTCGCGCAAATGCGTGAACTTTATACTACGCGGTACCGTCGGCAAGTTGTTAGGCGAAGGCGCTCAAGCAGCCGCTTGCAAAGAGATAGCGCACATCATTCTGAAGCAGATGAATTCCATCGGTAAGAAGAACGCGGCGTTTTTTGTGTCAAACTATAATATACAGTCGCGCGCAATCTCATTGTGGCCTTATCAGATTTCAGTCCGGAAAACGCCAAAGATTGCAATCAGGAAACGTTATTCAGCCAGCATTTACTAGTGTGTGCGCTGCAAGAAATGGGCAATCTGATTTTGGGATTAGGTACCACGGCTACGAATTTGCTATCCGATCAATCTCTAAGTATGTATTCGTGCATTCGAAATATCTTTTGTTTCCCACTAAACGGAAATGGATTGAAATTTCAAATCATGGATTGAAATGCATTAAAATGGATTGGAAAATGAATGCATTTCTATAAAGGCGAATCCATTTCAATCCATGGTTTAGAAAACTTCAATCCATTTCAATAAAAAAATATATATTTTAATCCGTTTACTGGGTTCTTCAATATAAAAATAGTCCGAGCAATACAGTTAATTATGTATTTAACGCAGATCTGATCGATGCCATAATGGCCGTCCTGGTGCATCCGTGTCAAGCGGCCAGACTGGCGGCAGCCTGGTGCTTGAGGTGCATATGCGTGGCAGTGCCGAGTCAAATAACGCCGCTGATCGACCGCTGCGTCGACGGGATTGAGAATATGCGTAGCTCGCCGGAGGCTATAGCCGGCTACAGCAGTACCCTTGCCGCGGTGGTGGGCAGCGTTCGTCTGTCACCTCTGGGAATCCCCCATACTAAGGGAAAGGTATATATACATGCTCTTGTGTACCCCTTTTTGTATTATACCAATGACGCGGAGTTAATTTACTTTCGATTTTCAGATAATTTTCAATACAGCGGAAGAGCTCTTGAGAAGCGCGAGTCAGAACAGTCGTTTGTCCTTAAATCGCACGCATGCAGGATGGCTCCTCATAGGCGCGATAATGACTCTAGGTATATATATATAGATGTCTTGTATTTAATAATGGATAATAATTTTAAATATAAACCGTTTATACATGTATAATTTTTATATGCAGGTGCGGCGGTAGTAAGGGGCTTGTTCCCGAGAATGTTACTCCTGTGGAGAAACTCCTTCCCGCGCTCGAACAAGGAACTCGAGAGTGAAAAAGCTCGCGGCGACGCTTTCACGTGGCAGGTGACTTTGGAAGGACGTGCCGGCGCGTTGTCCGCCATGTACAGTTTCCTGCTGCATTGCCCGGAACTTCTGGACGACGATATTATACGACGATTACTCACGCCGATCGAATCCGCTCTGGCGATGCTGACGAAGTATTAAATATTGATATACTTTTTATATAATGCGACAAAAAATATTTTGGAGCAATCCTACAATTAGGATATATCTTTTTCAGTTTGTCTCCTGTTTTGAAGAATTATGGCCAGCAATTGAAAGCCCCTGCGGCCATGGTTCGTTTGCGCTTATATGAAACATTATTGCTGATTCCACCGCAAATGTTTGAAGGTAAAATTTATAAAATCTATTTATATATTTTTTCCCAAGTTTGCAATTTGTATCATTGATATCACTTGATGTCACACAGGTTCTTATACACATCTTCTGAGGATGCTGGTATCGGAGTTCACGCTTACGGATAATCCTGGAAACACGACTACTTCCTTATTGAGTGTAGTTTGCCATGCTAACGATTCCGTGATTCTCGGTACGTGGCTGCAGGAGACCGATCATCGCACAATAGAAGACCAAGTGAGTTAATTTTTATATATACGTTCTAGATTGCAATGTGATTTCTATTTCTATAAACAACATCATTTTGTCTGATGCTTTGTTGAGTCATTGCTTGTTCAATCTTGTTTGCGAATTGAAAATTTGTAAAAGTGTCAGTGTTTTAAAGAAAAAAATTTTCTGGCAAACTAATTCTAATTCTAGATATATTTTATGCACAACTCAAACTCATACTCTTTTCTAACATTCTGTAACAAAAGATTGCGATTCAATAACTAAAATACATGTATTGTAAAATCTTTGTATAACTAGTTTTATATTTGTACAATTCGTGTTTTGGATATAAAACGTTTTTATATATCTAGCTAAACTTAAAAATGCAGAATATATACTCTTACAATTTAAACTTTTATCAAATCTAATTTTTGCGTTAACGTGTAAATACCCTCGTGTTTAGATGGAACCAAACAGAAGGGCAGATTTGGAACATGTGAGTAAGGTGTTCTGTAAAGTGTGCCTTTCATTTTTCTATTTTGTTTTCTTATGCCTACGTTCATAAATATTTAACTATTTTAATATAAAAAAATTTTAGTTTAAAAGTTAACAAATTTTTTAAGCTTTATTTTTATGTTATTATTATATTACTTTATTAACTGATTACATTAGTATATGTATGTAAATATAGCATTCCATTTTTTAAATTTCATATTTAATTTGAATATATTGAATATCTTATATATTGCTCATGTTTTATTTATATTAATTTGAGACAATCTTTGCCTTATTTCTTTGAATAAAGATATACATTTATATGTATTAATTATTTTGTATTTTTTTTTAGGTTTTACATATGAAGCAGCTTTACTTTTTATTACGATTAAAAACTCGTACTTTGTTATAATTTACAATCTTTTTTTTCAGCTTCAACCAAATAGTGCTGCGGGATCTGGAGCACTGGAACATAATACATGCTGTCTTTACAGACCAATGCCAAACGTAAGTTTAAAAAATCATTTTTTATATAATCAAATTTAAAAAAATTCATATTCCTCTCTGTAGATTTTTAAATCCTACTGCTAATTACAAATATGGAGCAAATTATAATACGAATTTATGATATTATGATTGCAGTATGAAATGATTCCTGGTCCCCTGCCGTTGGGCGTAGCGGTGATCGATCTATCGGTCGCGTTGTTCGGCCAGATATTCCCGCGTGTAGCAAACAAGCACAGGCTGCAGATGTTGGATCACTTCAGCGAGTGCATAAAGCACACCAAGTCCGGGAGGCAGGAGGCGATACAAATGAACGTGTTCACGGCCGTATTGAGCGGCTTGAAGGGCCTCAACGAGGCGAAGACCGGCTTCGGGCAGGAAGACGTCAAGAAATCCGCCACCAATCTCATCATCAGCACGCTGGTCAGCAGCAACCCCATTCTACGATGGGCGGCGGGAGAAGCGGTCGGCAGAATGGCCCAGGTGATCTCCGACCCGAAGTTCACCGCGGAATTGGCGCAGACCAGTTTCGACCGGTTGAAATCGGCACGCGACGTGGCCAGCAGAACCGGCCACTCGCTGGCGTTGGGCTGCCTTCACAAGTACGTCGGCGGAATGGGCTCCAGCCAGCATCTCAACACCAGCGTCAGCATCCTGCTCGCACTTGCGCAGGATAATTCATCTCCCGTAGTGCAAGTAAGATATTGTCCCAGTAAACGCAAATGGATTAAAATTTTTTTTTTTAATTTAAATGAAATTTAAATGAATGATTGAATTTAATTAAATTGAAATTGCTCAAACCATGGATTGAAATGGATTAGCCTTTACAGAAATACATTAATTTCCACGAAGGCCAATCCATTTCAATTTATTTCAATCCATGATTTAAAATTTCAATCCATTTTCGTTTAGTGGGGTGCCTCGTTTTATCCTCGTGTTAATTTCGACAGAAAATTATAAAATACATTTTTTTTCCAAGGTTTGGGCGCTGCACGCTCTGTCTCTGATAGCTGATTCCGGTGGACCAATGTTCAGAGGCTACGTGGAGCCTACGTTGTCCTTAGCACTGACCCTCCTTCTCAATGTTCCTCACTCCTACATCGACGTGCATCAGTGCATCGGAAAGGTTTTATCGGCGCTTATCACGACGATAGGACCAGAATTACAAGGTAGATCTATATAACGTCTCTACCTAATTATAGAGTAATTGCGAAGTATCCAGTAAATGGAAAAGGATTAAACTGGATTAAACTTAAATTCATTGAAATGGATTGGCCTTCGTGGAAATGAATGCATTTCTATTTCATAATACGAATATAATATAATATTTTTACTATAATATTAATATATTTTTTGGATTTGATAGATTAAAACAATGCATTTCCTAGTCACAATTTGTAATTAAATAACGTTCATGATTCATTTTCACGGAAAACTATATGTTATTATAAACTATATATTTTTAAATTTAATTATATATTGAAAAGAGAGCTAGTATTCACGATTTACTTTTTAAAACTGAACTTATTTTTAAATTGAATGGCATAGAAAATGTAATCATACAATTCCTATAAATGAATACAAAGGCATTGGGCATTGAAACGGATTCAGATTTTTAGAAGTACGCATTCGCGAACGTTGAAATGAATTTTTTTTTTAATCTATTGTAATCCACTTCCGTTTGCTGGGTATAGGTGATTACTGTTTTTGAGGAAGACAATTCATTGAACGATCAATTTTACAGGCAACACTTCAACGATTTGCATGGCGCGGTCGTCATTTTTGTGCGCGTGTGCCATTATGCAGGACCATCAGGATCCGCTTGTTCAAGCCGAGGCGACCGGTTGCCTTCAACAGTTACATCTCTTCGCGCCCAGACACGTCAATTTGTCGTCCCTCGTTCCTACATTATGCGTAAGGCTTCAAGTACTCAAGGACAACGTTTATCGCAAAGTTTTCATTATTTAACTTGATTATAATTTTTTTTTTTTTTCACAGCGGACCCTATCGAGCAATCATTTGCTTCTGCGTAAAGCTGCGATATCGTGCCTGCGGCAGCTCGCTCAGCGCGAGGCGAAGGAGGTGTGCGAGCACGCGATGACTCTGGCTAACGAGAGCAGAGACACTAACGTGGTGGAGGGTCTCGCCGTCACCGAGACCGGTCTCGCGGGCGTGCTGTTCAGTATGCTGGACACGGAAACTGACAGCAAGCTGATCAAGGACATCCACGACACTTTGACAAGCATGCTGCAAATATTGGCGGCCGACAATTTGTCCCAGTGGTTGTCACTGTGCAAAGACGTCCTCACGATAGCCTCAGGTAACAATCGCGTTCTCCGAATTAATCGTTGACGAAAAAAAAAAAAGAAATGAATCGAACGAATGAAACATTCTGCTTCGTTACGTAGAATCGAGTACGATCGAGGAGGGCAACGCGGCGAACGCGGAGGATAGCGCCGCCGACAACGAATCAGCGGACGCGGAGGGGGACGACGATCAGGCCGAGTTCCACGCTGACGAGTCCGCGAAACAGCGACCGTCTATCACGCCGAGATGGCCAACGAGAGTCTTCGCCGCGCAATGCGTCCGACGCATCATCGCGGCTTGCGAGAACAACAAGCAGGCTCACTTCGATCTCGCTCTGGCCAAAGAGATGCAACAGTCTAAGGGAAAAGGTTAGATTGACGAAGCTCTAACGTTGCCACCTTCTTACCTTTCTCGTGTAATTTTTTTTAATGTACTCGTTTTTACGGGATCTTACAGGAGACTTTCTGGTGTTACACCTGTCGGATTTGGTGCGCATGGCGTTCATGGCCGCGACCAGCGACTGCGATCCACTGCGACTCGAAGGTCTCAAAACTCTGCAGGAGATCATTGATAAATTCGCCGAAGTTCCCGAACCGGAGTTTCCCGGGCATTTGTTGCTGGAGCAGTTCCAAGCACAGGTGAGTCTCAATTTATCGCACATTTTATACAAGTTGTGTTTAACCTTTAAACCACTATATCGGTCTCACAAACCGCTATTGAAACGTTACTTGTCAATCATTTTTTTATTTGTCACCATTTAAATATATTTTATTTCTATTGTATATGAGATTTTTTTGTTAATCCTCACATTAAAACATAGGTTTCTTTTTCCCCATCTCAAATATTCAGGAAAAATACATTTTTATTATATATAACTTATAAAATTAGCGAGAGCTAATAGTGGCATAATAGCAGTCTATCAGACCGACATTGGTTGGTGGTTAGTGTAATTTTTTGGGATGTGGTGGTTTAAAGATTAATGATTATTGTATCGAATACATCCTACCATGAATATGTTTAAAGGTCGGAGCTGCTTTAAGACCAGCCTTTTCCCCGGAAACACCGTCGCATGTCTCAGCTGCAGCCTGCGAGGTTTGCAGCGCATGGATCGGCAGCGGCGTCGCTAGGGATCTCAATGATCTGCGAAGGGTGCATCAGTTACTCGTATCGTCCCTGGAGAAATTGAGAGAGGGTAACACTCGGCCGCAGCTGTACAACGAGAGCTTGTCAACGTTGGAAAGACTGGCGATTCTCAAAGCGTGGGCGCAGGTATATCGAATATTACTCTTTATATTCAATATAGAGATAACACAAGCAAGGATAAGATATCTGAGTAAATTGTAAAAAAGAGAAAACTAAATTTGATTTTTTTTTTTTTAACAGGTGTATGTAGTTGCAATGATAAGAGACGGATCCGCATTGAATAGCAAGGATACGATTAATCGAAACGTGAATCAAATCGATGAAGCCAACGAGGAGAATTTTGGGGAATTCGAGTTTCAGGGCGAAAGTTTGCTGAGCCTCGTCCAGCCGGAACTTCTGAGTCTGAGTCGACATTGGCTATCCGCACTGAGGGATCACGCATTGCTCTCGTTGCCGCCAGGTAATTGTTGATTAATTGGAATTCAATAAAATATGACAAAACCATAATTACGTGTTAATATCAAGTAATGCCGAATAATAGAACAAAGTTATTATTTCGATTTAAAATGTAGGTATCATATTCTTCATTAATAAATTTGTGGTAGACACATGTTATTGAAAGTTTTATATGTTGTATCCGGAATATTAATTTTTATTATGACTTTTTATATGTTGCACATACCTTTTTTTGGATTACTTATTCGAATAATTAAAATTATCGTTGTGATATCTCTCCAGAATTCTCCAGTCAGTTGCCGCACGACGGTGGTGCCTTCTACACGACGGACACCATGGAGTCCGCGCGTCCTCACTACGTAGAATCGTGGGCGCCGATTCTCTACGCCGCGACTCTCTGGCTCAATGCGAGGGGATTCGAAATGGGTGACAGCAATCAGGAGAAAGCGACGAATCTTACTAATAACAACAATCATAACAATTATAAAAACAACGACGAAGCTGCTGCTTCTAAAACTAACACGAATGTCGAACGTTTTCACTTGTTATTTGGTAAGTAAATGTATAAAATATTAATTAAACTGTGTGTACCGTCGTGGACATATCGGTTACGACACTTTTTTTTTTAAATCGATTTTGAAACGCATTAATACGTTGCAAATGCGAATCACGATTGGTGTACTGTCTCTAGATTAAAGATAGTACACCATCGTGGTTCGAATTTGCAAAATATTAGTTACCTATAAAATATGTATTATATATTATATATTAAATACTAAAAACCTATGAAAAATAGTGTCGCACCGATATGTCCATGACTGTATTTGTATGTAGATAATATTAATACAATTTAGCTTATATGATTATTCTTTTCCTTTTTTAAAGAAATATGCAACTTTCTATTTAATTATAATCATTTGCAGGTATATGCATGGAAGCTCTGTACAGTCCTCGCTCCTCCGAGTCCGAGCGAAATATAAAGACATGTTTGAATGCGTTATACACGTTACTCGACTCAACGTGGGCACGTGAGATCTTCATCAAGCAACGTTCCTTGCCTATCGAATTATGTAATGTTCTTGTTAGGTACGTGTACATACATATGCGAAAGGTACGCAATCTGTTCCTCCTTCACATATATTGATATCGATATATTTGTTGCTTTAAAGATTACTTTTGACACGAGAGAGTTATGCCATCCAAATGATAGTAATCGAAGTGCTGAAGCAGGTGATGAAGGGAGCGCAGGAGGATCTGGTCGCGAGAAAAAAATTGAAACTCAAAGGTACGGGAAAACTTCGAAATTGTCCTCGATAATTTTGGCAGATTTTTGCGTCGCATTTATGCTTATACGCGCGTGTATCTTTTTGTAAAAGATAATACATTGGCGCATCAAGAAAACAACGAAGCGACAGAAGAACTGGATCTGCTGGGTGAGGGAGAGGAGAGCGGCGATCTATCGCCGGGCTCATCATTAGTGTTCGCTGTCCTGGAGGTGTGCCTGTGTCTCCTGGTGCGGCAGATACCGGCGCTGAATCCGAATCCCGGCGGTACCACGGCTATCTTATCTCAGAAAGGATACGTCTCGTCCGAGAACAGCGGCAAGCTGATCGCGTCGACCCTCAATATAATGGAATCTCTTCCCACGTTATGCTCTCCGCAAGGTATCCTCGCAAAGCTTACCTCACGTAATTAACATCATTAACATAGTCAGTATAATCATAACAACTTATTATCCCCCGTTTTTTTTTTTAAAGGCGCAATAGCTGTTCTCCCGACGCTGCTCTATCTGGCAACGGGCGTGATACGCGAAACCGCGGTGCGTACGGACACCGACAGCACCAAATCCGGTTCGGAAACGCCGGTTCACGCTGCGTTGCACTGCGTCAAGAGTCTCATCGCTAACAAATACGCCCGGGATCACAGGAGTCAGAAGCAATGGACGGGATTACTGCGAAGCGCGCTTGCCAAGATCATCGACCTGGCCAAAACAGGCATGTTTACTTTATCCTTTAAAGAAGAAATACCTTTAATCATGAACGCGTACCTCTTATTCATAAAATATCAGAAATCGAAATGACATGTATCGCGCGCGTGTTCCTAGACTTATATCGAAATGTAAAGTATCTACCATATAATAATCGAAGAAGTTAGCACATATATATATATATATATATATACTTATTTTTTTTTATCTATTTTGCTTTTACAGGCAATGACGAAACTAAGATGGACGAGGTGGCGATGATGCTGGGCATCGCAGTATTCGTGCTCCACGCGTCGTCAGACGTGGTGAGCGCTCCGAATCTGCAATTTCCGTGCATTAATCACTTCCGGCATGCGTTCCAATCTGAAAACTTAACGGTGAGTTGATGACACACGGAAAAAGAAACCTAATAATTATTGATCTCAAAGATAATTGAATAATCTTGCATCCAGGTGAAACTGAAATGCGTGCAGACGTTAAGAACAATATTTCTGCATCCGGATCGTAATATAAGTACGCCATACATCCACGCGCTCGCGCCACGACTGGTAGAGTACCTGTATAGCGACAAGAGCAAGCAGGTGATGAATGACATGGAGCTGACCTTCACGCTGGAGTGCGCCAGCACGGTGGAAACCCTCATAGGACTCGCTGATCTTTCTAATCGTAAGTTAGTCTTACAAAGTATTCTTGTTTACAATATTATTTTTATATCTTTTTTCTAAGAATTTTTTTTTTGAGAAAATAAAGCTGTAAACTTGGACCTTTGTATATTTAGTCTTAGATATTTAAATGTTTTTTACAATTTTTTCAAATATAAAAAATTTGTTTAGCAATTATTTGCATCTATTGATTCGAGATACAAAAATTATCTGAAATATAAAACTCTAAAATGTTCTTAATCTGTATAAGCGTATTTCTTGTCTATGACCTATAGCCATATTAAAAAATTGATTTTTATCAAACAAATTTTTATAATGTTTGAAAAATTTGTAAAAAACCGTTTAAATATTAAAGAATAAATATACCAAATTTCAAATTCAGAGCTTTTATATTTTATACAAAAAAATATTTTTAAAAAGATATAAAAATGATAGGAAAAATTATGGAAACAATAATAAAAACCCCTAATTGAACTTAAGAAATGTCTATAAAAAATTATATCTTACAATTAATTCGTGGAATGTTAATTGAAAATGTTAATGCAATACGTGTTACACGCTATACAGGAGATCTATTACAAGGTGTGTGAAAAGTGTGGTCTTAAATCTAATTTTTGATGTATTAATCGTCTATCTTATTTATCTCATTTATGGAATAAGCTTAACATATTTCGTGAAATTACACAGGTATTCAAATGCTAACTCTGCTTGTGCCGATTTTAATCAATTACTTGCTGGAAGGAGACGAGCTCCAGCGTGCTACTAAATATCAAGTGAGCCTCCATCAACAGAGTTTCCAGTGGCTCAATAAGATCGGGCCGAAGTATCCGCAGGTATCATAATTTTGAATTATATCTTCCAGATTACAGATGTATCTTGAGTGATATTTAATAATCGTTTTATATCCCTAGGAATTTAAGACGCTGATGTCGCAATCCACCGAACTGAAAACGAAATTAGAGAACGCCGTAAGGACGAGCCATCAGCAGGCGCAACGACACACCCGGACGGTCGATCTCGTGAAACCGCAAATCAAAACATCCGCGCCGTCAATTAAATTAAAAACCGACTTCTCCAATTTCAATTAAAAGGAGATCGTACATGTTGCAGATAATGAGAAATAAGAGATAATTTATTAAAACTTCCGTAAGACTAACGTAAATAACGATATTAGCGACTTTGTCGTAGATCCGATCGTTTCAGCAAACGAAAATGAATTGAAATGAATAGAAATGAATTCATTTCGACATTTTCGAATTGGCGCTTCTGATTTTTCGAATCCATTTGAATCAAAGAATAATATAATATGGACATTAATACATTAGAATTCAACACGGTGAATAGCTCTTTTCGTATTTCAATTTATTTGTATAAAAAAAATAATAGGTACATGAATGCATCTTCGGACTCTAAAGCGCCAATTCGGATAAATTAAAATGAATTGCAATTTTCAATTCATTTGAATTCATTTTCATTTGCTGGCGTTAACGCGATTAACTGATTACACCGAACAATTTATAAATTGTCAGGCAAATCGAATTAATTGCTGTTTACAACGTCTTAGCGTTGTGATAATTATTAGGTGATATTTCGTTAGAGAATCGTGTACTCGACTGTACTTAGAAATAAAAGATTAGAAATTAGAACGACGGATTACGCGACGGATGCGAAAGGGATAGGACAATTTGACGTGAATGGGAAAAGTTGATGTCGATCAATTAATCGCTACTATAAAAAAATGATACTTATCTTACATTCTCGTCATCCCATTTTAACTTCTTCATTAGTACAATAACGTTCCTAATTTGCCAATTATGCTTTCCAAGAAGGTAACTTTATATCAGACTTTCAAATTGTATATATATATATGTATGTATAGAATTTAGCGTATAACATAGAGATTATTAATTTATTCAATGATAAAAAAAATAACGATGTTGATGTATATTCTCACATCACAACTTTGATGGATTGCGACAGTTAACAAAGTGACAGTTCAATTCCATGAGAGGTGTGGTGTTAAAAAAATTAAACGACTGCAAATACAATATGCACAAATAATTTATATAGCTGATATAATATAGATATTTCCATGCTCATTCACATCATTAATTCACGACTCAGAAGTTTTACTTTAAAATCATTCTTAAAGTAACCGACAGGTATACATTCGATAGAATTATTTATTAACAAATTATAATCACATGGGTTTCCTTGGGAAAACATTTGCCATAAAACGGATGCATATAAAATAAATATAGACTGTTTTGATCGAGAACATATTTAACGTTCTTCTGATAAGAAGACTGATAACTCGCTATGCTTTTTATTTAATAATTTTTAATACACGGATGCGAGGAGAGAGAGAGAGAGAAAGAAAAAAAGGCATGTGTTTGTTTTGCATATCTAGAAATTTTATTATAGAATTGTTAGTAATGGAGTAGCGATTCCAATCGAACGAACGTCTGATATAACATATCGAATTATACCGAGCTTCTTTTCTGTAATATAAAAATTATACCGAGATTTTTTCTGTAATATCGGAATTTTGTGTAAGAATAATGATCTTTGTTTTCCAAACTGCAATAAGATGCACAAGAAGCGCCTTCGGTAAATTAGTACCGTATAATGCTGGGCATTACAGCGAAACGATTTGTAAAATTCGACAATTCTTTTTTTTCGTATTTGATCCTTAAACAGAGCTAGATTGTAGATATGAACGAAAAATACGAACGAACTGCGTGATCATGAGTGTATGTAAATTGAAATTAGAAGACGTAATTCAGAAAGTGGAGGAAAGTGGCGGACTTGACGTTACTCGTATTACTGTGTTTTTTGAAGCCTTAGGAAATCGCAGTAGGCGAGCCTGTAGTTTAGATACAAACGTTTAGACGTTGCAGTACAGACGTCGTTTTTACATAGATTGTGGACTTCACTGGCGATTTTGTCAATCGCTCAGTGATGTCACTGCAAATCGAAAGACGTGGGTAAAAGGAATCGGTGGGAATTTCAATGTCACACGATATTGAATTCCTAAAGATTTCTCCTTTTCTACCGGAGCGAATTTTTTGGGAAATCGCACGTATACAAAACTACCTTTCCAACTTCCACTTCGAAGTTCGGCGAGTCTCGCAATGTCTGTATATAATTGAGTTCGAATTGCACGGTAGATCTGACGTAGCGCGCGTAAATTTTGTGAGGCGAACCAGGAGACGAATTATTGTAAACGTGGAATGGATTAGTGCTCGATAGAGATGTTCTACTATTTTTATATGATTATTTTAGGGACCCGTTGAGATTATTTGTAACTTTTAATTGCACACCGCGAGAGGAGCATACGCGACCGTTCATACATAATAGTGTACTGTACATCTGATCCACCGAACTTCCATATACATTTTAAGTCGCGTTCCGATTGACAGGAATTCTTGTCGAATTCGATGAATATGGTACAATTGTGTAGTGTTGTATTACATAACTGTTGCAGTTTCGATGAAAATAAATTAACTCTTAATCGCATTCCTGTTGCATTGTTGGTGTAATAATTTCGTTCGAAGTCTTCGTTATTAACACCTGTCCTGCAGAATATTAATTGTTGATAAGACATGATAATTCGAATTTAAATTATCGGTTAACAGATTTCTGAGCGGCTTTATCGGTCTGCTTGCCTTTTCTTTGAGAGGGAGAACCTATACTTGACTACTCTGATCGCAAGTGGATACGCGTTTTAAACGGTCCGTGGATATAAAGACTGTGAATTGCGAAGAGCATGTTCAAAGCAGTGCAGCGCGAGCTGTCGTGGGACCGTTGTTGTTTTATCGCGACCGTCGTTACTCGTTCCATTCGTGATAACGGCGGTAAATTAATCACAGTGACGAAACCGAACTCGAGGGGCCCTTGGATCCGAGAGATTTTGACGCAATTCCGCGAAATGGTGAAGGCGAGGAAATACGTAATAGCGAATTATTTCATAAACGAAGCAAAGCCAACGGATCTAAAATTGGTAGAAGAGGAGCTGCCACCGTTGCAGGATGGAGGTAGGAAAACAATGACATAATCGCCACAAACGTCATGCAAGCATGCACGTGAGAATGTCTACGAGTGCGTTATTACAAATAGGAGATGTGATTAAACGCGATCCAATTTTCTGTATCTCCTTTGCGAACATTGTTCCGTAAGAAAAGAATTAGATACGACTTCATTTATTATATTACCAAATTATATGTTATATTCACGTATCAAACTTGTTCGACTATTGTACAATAAGCTTTATGTGGAATACAACTGTTTTAGATGATATATTACATACACAGTCGTATCACAATAGAAATTTATTAATTTATTAAAGATAAATTAAAAATTCTTAATTTTCATTATCGAATATTATATTTACAGTTATTGGAATATTAATTATGAATCATAATTTAAGTTTCAAAGTGTTACATCGTGCTATTAATGTTACAGAATAGATCAAAAATAGGATAATTAACATCGGAAAAATGAAAACAAATGTATCTATTACATGTATAATATATGCCATTAAAAATATACATATATTGTTATAATATAGCTTAATTAAGAGATATAAGCTAATATTAATAAATAAATTATAAAATAATATTAGTAATAAAATTCTAAATATTATAAATATTATTAGCTCTTGGAAATATCGATATTAAATTAATTTTAGCAGTTATTACAAATTAATATTTTTGGATAAAATTATATATATTTATTCTTTTAGAATATCTTGTGGAAGCTGAGTACCTTTCTGTCGATCCATACGTGAAACCGTACGTGCAAAGTTTCCCTCTCGGAACCACGATGGTCGGCAGTCAGGTCGCCAAGATTATAGAATCCAAGAATCCGGATTTCCCGGTTGGCAAAAAGATTGTCGGAAATCTGGGCTGGAAAACGCATACGATTGTCAATCAGAATGACGTCAAAGACGCGCTATTCCAGCAACCGCCGTACATTTTGCCGGACATTGGCGACTTGCCGTCGTCCCTTGCCTTAGGCGTGCTAGGAATTCCAGGGTAAAGATTTTCGGAAATATAATATTTACACGATCGCTTTGCATTGACGTGCGCTTCCGGGGGGAAAAAAGACGCAAAAAATTTAAAAGACGCTACGATACAAAATAAGTATACTTTTTATTTGCCGCGCGCGTTGCTTATTTTAATTCAAACTTTCAAGGACTTTGAGCCTTATGTAGATTGTGTAATAAATATAATAAATTGGCACTATATAGTTATTAAAATAGGGATTGTCATTCAAGAAATGAATTCATTTCTTTCATGAGACATAAATATAAGTATCTATTTCTATAACACAACAACACAAGAAAAAAGATACAGTATAAAATTATTTATGCAAAATTCTTTTTCTCTTATTTACAGCAACACGGCACATTTCGGTTTGCCGGAGATATGCAAACCAAAGTCCGGCGAGACAATAGTCATCAGCGGAGCCGCTGGTGCGGTTGGCTCGCACGTGGGCCAGATCGCCAAGAATCTGGGTATGACTGTAATCGGTATATGCGGCTCCGACGAGAAGTGCAAGTGGCTCACTGAGGAACTGGGTTTCGATTCCGTCATCAATTACAAGACCATGTCGGTCGCAGCCAGTCTACGCAAAGCCGCTCCGCAAGGCGTGGATTGCTACTTCGATAATGTGCGCTATGATAAGATATCGCGTCTTCTTTCAATCAATTAACTCGCAATCAATTAAATCATTACTTTTTAATCTTTATCTTCTTGATTAGTACACTCATCTTGACAAAATTTTTTCTGCGTTGAAAAATCTATTTATAATCGATTGAAAGATACTATCCTCTCTCCTTGCTTAACTATCGAGATCTAAATCACGTTAATTAACTTTACAGGTTGGCGGGGATATCTCTGGCGTGGTCATGTACCAGATGAGGCCGTTCGGCCGGGTAGCCGTGTGCGGCAGCATCCCGATGATCTCGAGCTACGACGCGGACACCTCGTCCTTGCCCAAGTCCACAATCCTGCAACCCGTGATATTGTCCAACCAATTGAAGGTGGAGGGCTTTATCGTTACACGCTGGATGGATCGTTGGAACGAAGGCATTACGCAGAACCTGCGATTGATTCGCGAGGGCAAGCTACGTTACCGCGAGACCGTGACCAAAGGCTTCGAGAA